GTATGTTGAGTGTTTTGTTCCAATAATGTATAATTTGACCAATATAATGGAATATTATGAAGCCACGGAAGTTAGGGTATGGATATGATTTCATCAACATGGAAAGATATTTATGATATAATGCTAAGCTCAATTAAATACATTTTTATTGGGTAATTACTACACAATGAATTGAAAAGGTATAGTACTTTCCCTCATAAAGCTTATAAATGAGTAGGAAATCAGATATTGAGGAACTATTGAGATAAGAAAAAGTTGGGCAGGGGATATAGCTCAGTGGCACAGCACCTACCGGCAAGCACAAGGTCTTGAGTTCAATTCCCAGTATCAAAAAAAAAGTACATTGGAGGTACATAATGAAGGTATTTAACCTAGTCCAGAGGGGTCATGGAAGGACCTCTAGAAGAAAATGATGCTTCATGAGGGATGACTATGAGTAAGGCAAGCAAAGAGGCAAACAGGAAAAACATCCTAGAAAGAGTGACAGCTATTTTTAAAAATATACATATCACAAGAGGCTATTCAGACATTTAAATATATTTTATTTATATATATATATTATGTTCAGAAATATTTTTGGACATGTATAATTTATAAATACAAAATTTTAAGGCCATAAACCATACTTTTATATAGATATTGTGATATATGTATCTTTTTTACTTTTTTCCTGCTTAATCATTCTGATTTTTTTCTTCAATCAACATATATATGTGTAGTATTAAAATATGTGGTATTTTACCAAAAATGTGTGAGTGGAAGGATGAATGAAAGAATGGAAGAATGGATGGTAACCATATGGAAGGCTGGTGCTAAACATTACATTACACTCACCAGAGTCTATATATTACATTGATTCTTCCCTCCCTTCAATTACTAAAGCCCAAGATCTATTTCTTAAGCATATTTTCTCCCAACTTCTAAAATCACTTTATTTTTTTTCTAAGGTTATTCCAGTACTTCAGAGACAAGTTGGTCACCAAAAGTGGACCCAGTAGCACAATTCATTGTAACTGCAAACAGCTTTCTCTCTCAATATTGGCCTCTCCAAACCACAGACACAGAAAGTGACTGGCAGAGTTATTTACTGAAGTTGCAACTAAATAACTTCTGGGGACAAAATAAATCATTTGTTTTAAAAAATAGAGATGGAGGGGCCGGGGAGATAGCTCAGTGGAATAAGCACTTGCCTGGCAAGCACAAGGGCCTCAGTTCAATCCCCAGTTCCTCAAAAAAAAATAAATAATAGAGATAGATGAGAAATGGGAATAAAAGGAAATAGAATGAGACCACTGTAAAGGAATATGGCTCAAAGTTTCTAAGTAGTGAGCTCAGCTGATTTCCTAAGCTACAATGTGAAATTCCTGGCCCACGGCTCAAAGCAAGGTAAGCATACTTGGTCCACTTCAGCCAAGGCACAACTCCAAGTTGAGACCAGCTCCTTCATGTAATTAGCCAGGGGGGACACATGTACAAGGAATTCTCACAGCGTAAGTGCCAAGGCTCTCCCAGCAAGAATAACTTGCCCAACTAGTTGTGTACCAAATTAGGAAAAATGACAAATTCAACAAAAATGTTCCGCATTCACCATTCTTAGCAAACTGCTGTTTGTGCTTTCAGTATTCAATGACCACCTTCTGTGGTAGGTACTGATAATTTAACTTTATTTTTTTTGATAGTTTAACATTAACAAGACATGCTTCCCTCATGCCCAAAGCTCAACATTTCACTCATTTAAAGACATACTTGAGTCCTACAACATATAGGGAACTCAGGATTAGTAACAAACATGTTCAACAAGGTCTGATCTTCATAGGAGTTATACACTAGTGAGGAAAGATAAGTTAAAAAAAAAGTTTTTTAATACTAAGATGATTAGCAAATAGTGATAAGTGTTATTAAAAAAAAAAATCTATTATAGACTAGAGAGACAGGTGTGGAAAAATGGTTAGGGTAGTCAGAGAAGCCTTCTCTGGGGAGAAGACATTTGCAAGATAAAAAGCAGCATTTCAGACAGGCCAGAATGCAGAGCAATGATTACCAGACTCAGAGCAGGCACAGGGTAGTTGGAAAGCATGTGGAAGGGAGAACTAATCCATTCAAGGGTCCTGTAAACTAATATGGTCTCTTTCTGCTAGCAATGATTTATACCACACTGTACCTGGTTCAGGAGTGGTTCTCTGATAGAGACAAGAAGCTTGGCCTACTGGTTCCTGTGAATTCAGTCCAGTTGTAGCATTATATGAAATAGTTAGACAAGGCTATCCCTTTTCTAGGTATGCCCAGAAAAAAAGGGATCCCTGGTATTGTGCCGCAATCCACATGACTCTAAAGGCTAGCAGAGACCCATGGTCTCCTCATAAAAGTAAGGGCTATAGAAGAACAAGTTGGGAGCCTGACAGTAGAACACTCAGCCAGGTGGCCAAAAGTCAAGACCCACTCACTATGTGACCTTGAAAAAGACCCTTTCCTTCTCCCACCCTCAATGTCCCTCACCTGCAAAAAGAGAGACCAGAAAGCCTGGCAATGATCCTAGGAATCTATGTGGTTAACAAGCTCCCCCAGAGGTTATGATGCATGCTGAAGCTTGAGAACTAATAGATTATGTGAGTCTACCTCTTTTACCCTTGTGGTGAACAAGGAAGGAGACACATGTCAACTGGCCTGCCTGAGACTTTGGCTCCATCAAGATCTTCATGGTGCCAAGCTGAGAACAGAGAAGCTCTCATGGTAGGTTTTATAGTCTTCTCTTTCTTGCTCCCCTTATGCTACCAGCCTCTCTATTCTCCCAGTAGAGTGGCAGCCCCATGCCTGAGGGTACAGTGTGCCCCTCACCATACCTGTGAACATCGCACAGAAGTAAGGACTGCAGGCTGCCAGGACCACACGGTGGGCTTCTATCTCCACATCTTCTGCCACAATCATCACGTCACACAACAGCTGCTTACTGTAAGGGGACAGGATGGGGACAGAATGGTCACAGCATGGATACCTAATCCCATCATCCAAAGGTATTTTTATTCCCACCCAGATTTCATGCTATCATCATACAAGACTTTCATAGAGACTTGCTCTATCTTAATGTGAGCAGGAAGATGGACCCATTGACTTTTCCAAGCCCTGATATGCCTTCCACACATGCTTTCATAAGGCATAAAGAGGGATCCAACTATGCTACAACTGTAAATTTAGAACTGCTTCATTTGTGTTCACCTTTCTTTTTCTTTTTCTTTCTTTTTTTTTTTTGTGTTCATCTTTCTAATCTGAAATTCCATCAGTGCTGACTGAGAACTATGGAAACAGTGGCTGGGGAACCGTGGCAAAAACTTGGGACTATCAGTTGAATGACTTAATGAATGCCAAGCAACACAAGCACACCACTGAGGTGTGTTGCCAGCAAGACCACATACTGATAATTCTTCAAGAATTCTATCGCAGTATTAAGGTTGAGAGTAAGAATGTGCCCCAAAAGCTGCATGTGCTCAAAGGTGGCACTTTTGAAAGGTGATTGAACCATGGAGGTGACATAACCAACTTGCTGTTAGGAGGCAGAGTCTACTCACAAGAGGCAGGTCTCCAAGGATGTGACCTGGAAGGGTGCACCTCCCTCCCTCTCTCCCTTCTGATTCCTGGCTGCCAAAACATGAGCAGCTTTCCTCCACCCAGGCCCTTTCACTATACCTTCCTGCCTTGGAATAAGCCAACTATGGACTAGAAACTCTAAATACTAAACCAAATTAAACCTCTCCTTCTTTAAATTGTGTTAGGTATTTTGTTCCAGAAAGGAGGAAAGTGACTGAGAAACACTGCATGCACAATACTGAAAAAAAGTCAGACTCTAGTATTCGCCTTCCACCTGGAACTAACACTATCACCAATAAGACTCTACTTGCACACATAGTACACCCTAAAGGACCTGTGAAAATTCCTGCCATTGCAATTATTAAGAACATTATGACTTTCTTTTATGATCGTCAGCCCATCATGCCACAAACTTGGGAAAGGAATTGTCTTATTTACCTTTGTATCCTAGAACCCTGGCATCGTGTCTACCACACAACAGACCTTAATTTTTTCCGAACAAATGAATAAAAGTGGATCAACCTACATTTAGAGACAGAAAGGATATTTGACTACTTTAGAGATTGAGAGGGTGTCACAAGTCTCTGTCAATACAGAAATTATTCTTTTATCAGCCTTCTAAGTTTTTATCAGTCCTATTATTAATATAGTAACCTATATGAGTTATAGGTACCAGGTACTGTTATAAGTACCTTTTGTGCACATATTATTTCATTCAATTCTGTCTACAATCCAATAAAGAAAATCAATCATTATGCCAGATATAAAAATGAGGAAATGGAGGCTCAGAGAAGTTTGGCAACTTTCTCAAGGCCACAGACAAAGAGCACATGGGAAAGTTGAAACAGGACTTGAATGCACATAGCTTCAACTCGGAGCCCCTTGAATGGCACCTTTCTCACTAGTCCCTCCTTTAGATTGAAATGCTAGAGATAAGAAGGAAGGTAAAGAGGACAAACACATTGCAAGTGTGACTCACTGGTAGTGGGTCAAGAAATCTGATGTTATTTTTGAGTTCTATGTGAGCTTCTGGAAACTAGTTAAGAAGTCTACCATGACTGAAAGACAAAAAAGAAGCTACAAACAGTATTTGCCACTGTGAACTACTGAAACTTTAGTTCAGGTTCACTAGAGAAATAGAATCATAAATATAGCATGAAAAAAACGCAAGCTGCAAATACCCTTAAAGATCATCTGGTCTATGAAACCCAAAGAAGTAAAGAGACGCCCAAAGACACAGAATCTGAATCTCAAATCCAGCTCTCTTGACTTCAAATGCAGCCTAGTGCTTTTCCCACTGTACCACAAAGCCTTGTGATGGGCTGATACTTCAGATAGGAAGACAGAAGACAGCTTAGCACCAATGTGTAGAGATGGTCAGGAAATGTTCAGCATGTGGACTAAAGTATGAGTGAAGGGGCTTCTGGAAAGGGTAAGACCTTTAGGCACAAAAAGGTAAAACCAAGAGGTTGGGACTCCCACTGCCTGACAGTAGACCTTACACAGCAACTTTTTCAGAATTGCCAGTACAAACAAGAATAGAACTGACTCTGCCCCACAGGGTTAAAAGAACATGGACAAACAAGCTCACCACTGTTTTCTAACCTGTCCAAGCTTCCTATGAGACACAAATCATAGAGATCAAATGGGATGGCAGAAGCCACCTAAGCTCTGGCCAAAATTATTATACAAATATACTCTCAAAAGAATAAATGCATCTTGAACATTTTAACTTCTACTAAAGATTTTACAGAGAAAAGAGTCACCACTACTATTTAAGAGTAACCAATAATGGTTTTAGTAAGAAGCATTTAAATGATGAAATGTTTAACAAGGAAAATTAAGAAAGGCCAAACAAATTTTCAGTGTTAGGAGTAACAAGCAAATGTTAGTAGGATATATTGTACAAACTCAACAGAGTGCATAATTTCTGAGTAAATGGAAAACAGACAAGGAAGAATAAAGATGGCAAATTCAATTATGCAAGTAAATGAGAGCAGTTCTGACAGGTCAATAGATCTCAATGTCAGAGAAATTTTAACCTGGGGAAATGGGTGTGATGCCTAAGCTTCTTGTCAATTTGATGGGATTAAGGAAGGTAATAGGACCAGGGAAGCACAATATTCAATATTCCTATCAGTGGAATCATCTAGCAGCTTAATGCACTACTAAGGGATGGGGCCAACTAGAGGAGATAGAGCCCTGAGAGCATGCTTTTGGAGGTGTATTTCTGTGGGACACTGTTCCCTTGCTCTCTTTCTGGGTCATGATGAACTAAGTATCTTTGCTCTGCCACCTTCCATCATGATGTTTCTGCCTTACAGCCAGAACAATAGACTAAAATCTCTGAGACTGTGACCCAAATACATCTCCCAGGTATTGGATACATTGTCCTGAAACAGGAACTCTAATACATTGGGTACAAGAAAGTTGCCAAAAATTCAAAGGGGACTTTTCCTGAGGGTAGGAAAGCCTGTTGTTGGGGGCCTGCCAGTTAGCCCAGTTGTTTAAGCGCCTGCTTATGCAAATGCAGTTAGGTGCAGGATGCTGTGGTTCGATCTCCAGCTCCACATGCCTTACCAGACCACCCTTAAGGCAGCCGGAGGGGAAAAAAAAAAAAAAAAAAAAATTTCTTCTCAACTTTGGGCCAGCCAAATAGCTCAGCAGATTAAAGCACCTGCAAGCAGGTACAGGAGCCAGGGGTTCAATCCCTGGGCCTGCTGGCAATTGAGACTGCACATGGTGGCACGTGCCTATAATCCAAGCTCTTGGGAAGCTATAAACAGGCAGATCACTATGAGTCTGATCTAGTAGTAAGACCCTGAACACTCTGTAGACCCTTCCCTAAAATACAAAATAATAATAATAATAATAATAATAATAATAATAAAAAGGAAAGCCTGTTGCATACTGCAGACATCTCTGTACCTTACATGGAAAGCCTGCAGGGCTCAAAGGTTTTCCTACTTAACCAATTAGATGGAGTAGGGGATCCTTTTCTTTTCAAACTATGATACTATTCCAAAGCACAGTCTCGAGGAGAAAAACATAATACTACACATTTTTTTTCATTTGTGGAAAAGTATAGTATAGGCATTGGAAATGTGTGCAGGCACTGGAATCAAAATGAATAGTGTTTGTTTTGTTAGCAAGTATATAATATCCCCCAAATGTTATAGAATTGGGATATAAATAGCATAAGGCATAGTGCTAATCAGCATAATGTTAGCTTATTTCTTTTCTTTTTTCCCCACAAAGTATTGCCTTAAGGTTAGAGGTTAAGTGTTGGAAATCTTCAGTTTGAGCTACCTATTGGACAGCTAAGTGGGGTTATCAGATGGACAAGTGGATAAACACGTGGGTTCAGAGGTGAGAGATGGACAAAAAGATGAGAGGGCTGCACATAATGATGGATGACTGTACTATGAACTACTCAGAAGGGTGAGGCAAGAAGATCACAAATTCAAGACCAATCTGGGCAACACAATGATATCCTGTCCCTTATTTAAAAACAGAGAGAAGAAGAAGAACCAGCAAAATAGAGAGTGTGGTATGGAGAATATAATAAAGAGGGTCTAAAAATATCCATATAGACCAACAGAATAGAATTGAGAGTCTGTAAACAAACCCTTACATTTATGATCAATTAATTTGTACAAGTGTAGTAATACAACTAAATGCAGAAAGAATAACTTTTTCAACCAAACCTGGGACAACTGTATTAATATGCAAAAGAATCAAGTTGGATCTTCACCTCACACCATATACAAAAATTAACTCAGAATGAATCAAAGTCTTAAGTGTAACAGCTAAAGCTATAGCATTCCTAGAAGAAAACAGGGGTAAAGCTTCATGACTTCAGATAAGACGATGCTATGACACCAAAAGTACAAACAATAAAAGAACAAATGGCAAGTTAGAGTCCAAATTTAAAACATTTGTGCTCCAAAGAATAATACATCAGGAAAGTAAGAAGCCAATCCAATGAGAATGAGAAAGTGTTCTTACAAGTTATCTACCTGAAATGGGTTGTATCTAAAGTATAAAAAGAATTCACACCCTTACAACTCAATAATAAACCTAAAAATAATCCCACTTCAGAACACTTGGCAGGTAGGGGCATGAGGATTAGACATTCAAGACTAGCCTGGGCAACTTAGCAATACTTAGTGAGATCCCTTGGTTAACAACTATTAAAGAAGAACTGAAGGAATTGGAATCTTCACATACTGTTGAACAAGAGGTAAAGGGTGCAGCTTCTTTGGAAAACAATCTGGCAGTGCCTCCAAAGGTTACAGAGTTTCCATGACCTACTGCTGTCTATAAAGCCAAAAAATGAAAACATACATCAAAATGTGTACTTGA